CAAGAGGAAACCCCCATTGTCTTGTAAGGAAATTCCGGAAAACTCATATTGTGCGTGATAGCGAGTTCGCTGACGTGGTATGGGAATGCACCTATTTGAACGCTGCAGTATTCTCGGAATTGGGGGTCGTGAAAGAGTTCTTTGGCGATACTCAAGTGGAAGGCTCTGGTACGCTTTGAGATTCGCAAAGCATCGTGACGCCCTTTTTAGTGAGAGTGAGAGTGATGTCGTGTGAAACGTGAAAAGCTGTTCACTCACTCTGAGACGTGTATCGTAGCTCAACGCATTCAAAACGGTGCTGATATCTCCAATCAACTCTTTGGCAAACGGCGCTACAGTAGACCATGAAGCGACATCCACTGCAAGCTTTGACGTCTCTAGGAACTCTGCGTGGCTAAGGAATGAATTGAGCATGGCAGCCACCGAGACAACAAACGTGCTCAAACTTACACAAAATTCGTTGTCGCAAGTCAGGATATCCAGCGTTACCGAAGGCAAAAGGTCCAGTTTCTCTTTAACAACATGGGCAAGGGAAAACCAAAGGTTGTTCTTGGGGTTCACCTTGGGGTTCTTGACCAGACGTGAAGTTGCTACAATGAGGTCCGGGAGGCCTCGGGGATAACACACCTTGGACGCAATTAGTCCCAGAATGTGCATCAATTGGGAGTTCCGCGCCTCGCCTTCCCATTCGCAGTTCGGGAATACGTCGACAAGAACTTCCAGCAGACCGGACTCGAGGATGGGAGCAAAGTCGCGACAATCCTTCGCCAGGTATAAAATCAAGACCGCGTTATCGAGAAACGTGGCCGCGGGTATCTTTGGCGGAAGAAGCAGGGATGCAATGGTTGCTAGTCCTTTAATGCAAAGTGACCGCTTGGTGCGCGATAGGACGGCTCGGCGGTCAAGGAGTAGAAATATGTTCAGCAGCGATTCAACATGTTGGTCCAGCTTCGCTCCCTTCATCATAAGTGGATGAAATGTATCAATTAGCCGTCGTATCCTGAACAGAAGTGCATCCAAGAATGTGGAGAGCTGCCGCTTCGAGCATAGGATGATGTCGTAAATCAGTTCGTTTGCGTCTGCATGAAGGAACCAATTGTGGACCAGCGCAGTCGCAGGTGGTATCCATAGGTCAGGGACCTCATCGTTGACTGTAGGTTCGTAGCACCAGAGCTTCAGGATGAGAGCTGCAGCCTCTGGTAACGAGAAGACATGGAGCCCGAGCTGGTCATCAAGACAGACGAGATGGAGGAGGGTGCTCCCGACGCCAATGTAGGCCTTGAAACTGCCCATCTGATTGAGAATAAGAGACATCCAGGCTACTAGACCATCGAGATTCTCCTGCAGGCGCGACGAGGTTGCAGCCCTGAGTTCTGTTGTGCTGTGACATGCCCCGATAGACATATCGACGAGGTGAATTGCCAATATGATGCGATGAAACAAGACCATGTCGGATGTAATGAGGGAGGGGTGCTTGGAACATTCATCGACATTTAGCTGAGCCAACGCTGCATCCAGCGCGGAAACGGTATAGTTTTCTGCTGTAAGACACCTGGAGAGTTCCTGGAGATGCGCCGGGCTTCCGTTGCGTGCCCTTTGAATCAGCTGGTGTATATGTAAGTTTCAAAGTCGCTGAGTGGTCAGTGTTGGATAGGGGCGTACTTTGGGAGATAATTTGGACACGGGCGTTGTTGCTCAACATGCGGGCTTCGGCATCCACCGGACGATTGGAATTTGTCAACGATCTCAGAGCCAATCAAATACTGAGTAGCTTCTGAGCCAGTAAGTTGGCGTCATCTGCTAGAGACGTCTTATCCAGTCATCGAGACGATTTGTAGACTTTGAACGAAACATTTAACTATGTATACATGGATTGTGCATAGGCATCCACCATATGTAGCAGCGATGTCGAGCTGCGAACAAGCGCTCTAGCCCTCGGCTTGGACGTTTGAATTCTGGTTCTTCTCTGGACGGGATAAGCGGGGTTCTCAAGAAGGCATGACATGTCCTTGGGGTTTTGTAGCTAGAAACTGAAGGGCAACACTGCAACCAGGGAATGGTTCAGGAGTCGAGTGGTTGGTGCGTCCACTACCTCACCGCTGCACTCCCCTTCCCGTACTAGACCAGCACACTTCCATACCCAGCGCTCTAGTAGTTGGAATCCTGGGACTACCCGCTTGAAGCCATCTTCGTTTGTAAAAGAACACAAGAAAAGGTCGGCGAGGGTCTGAGCCACGATATAACAGTACATCGAAAACTTATTGAGGAAGATAAAGGTGACCCATTGGTACGCTTTTTTTAGCCTCTATCCACCAGAGTTTGCAGTTGCGATATAACTTGTCACCAAACCGCAATTGTTCAAAAATTCATCACCTGGTTTTTTCACAGAGCAGCTCTCCGGTGGGACTCGAACCCCAGGTCTTGGTCCACTTGCCTTTGCATGCCGACCACTGTACCACAGAGATTGTGCCATGCTACGTTTCTACGACGTCTGATGAGCGACACATCCACTGCTATCGTTTTACCTTTCAGCGCCAAATCTAGTTGTTATAATTCGTATCTTTCATATCAACTTCCAATCTCAAGACTCTTGGTATGTCTCGATCCATTTATGAACAGCTTTCGTTTTCTCACCAAAAGCAAGTTGCTTGATACTATAGCCAAACGAGTGACGACGCGATAGCAACTTAAGTCAAAAAAAAGCATATTGGAACAAAATCATCGGTCTTCCATTTTGTTATGGCCCCCAGTGGGGAATCGAACCCGAGTCGCGCTCGTTCCTGGAAATTTCCAGTATAGGGACAGCTGGCAACTGCGCTACGGAGGCATTGTGGACGTGCGATCGTCGTAGGAACCATCTGGGCTAAATGGACGCTTGTGGAAAACATCAGAGGCGGAATCCTTCGACATGCATTATCAATCGCTCGTCAGGGGAATAAAATTTGGATGCTTTTTATGTCCCATCATGAGAAGACGACCTTTGAGTGGATGTCGAAGCCACATCTTCCATCCTTCAATTTGGCATACTGTATTCCCACAGGAAGAAAGGAACATATACTGAGCCGCTGTGCCACAGAGGTCTTTTCCATATGTCTGGTTTCAAGTGAAGGCCATCTTTGCGATAAGAACCCGCGGCCCCAGCAAGTTGCGCAATAAAGCTTGTCATCTTTCTCAAGCGCTTACCAAAAATGTTCATGCTTTTATGTAAGAGCGAAACCTCAACCGGGAGTTGAACCCGCGCGCCTCGTTCCTCATCTTACCCCATAAGTTGAAGATTCGAGTCGAGAAAGACATGCCCTAGACCACTGTACGACTGGAGGTATTATTATGGAGGAGCGCCGCATTGAAACATCAAAGAAGTTTGACAAGGCAAATCACCTATGACAAACTCGCCTCCACGAGCCATGCAACGAAGCTTTCGTCGGAGTCATAGAAAAAAAAAATTGGGTTGTTTCCATTACGACCAAGGCATCGGAATAACAATGCACAGCATGTGCGTACCGTGAAATTTTCGAGATCGCTTCCTTCTTAGTGGCGAGCGTTGAGCAATAGGCGCCCGATATGAATCGGAAGCGCCCAGTGATCTGAACCAACTGATGCGATTCGAGAATCGAGAATATTGCACTTCTACATCATGGGCATGAAAGATTGGCGAGTGTTGTGGGTAATTGGTAGACCTCAACGCGAAATCGCGGTGATTTGAGCGGGAGAACGCCAAACTATACATGATAAGCGAGACGCACGCACAGATAATTCCCATCCCCTTCTGCATCTCAACACACCGACATCGACATCCCGTCCCTTGATCGTCTCTGAATGTCATTTTTGGGTGAAGTGCACCATCCAAGCCACAGTTCTCAACATTAAGTTTTCGGCTGGCGCTGAGTTGAGGCTCGAGAGGGAGGAAAAGAGGTCGTGAGGGTGCGTACTTTGGGGAGTTCAACGTCCAGAGGGTCTGTCGAAGCCTCTGTTAGTCGGTCGATGCCAGCGATCAAGCGACGGAGGAAGGAGGTGGGTAGCCAGAGAATGTCGTTGGGCGCAGCGCTGGGACTCAAAGCCTCGAGCCGGTAGGATGAGCGACCTCTGCGCATGTCTAGACTCGGAAGTGGAGAGCCTGTCGCGACCTGTTGAGCTTGAGCTTGAGAGCGCATCGCTGCGATCGAGGAACACATCCTTGTATACCTGGAGCGGGGTGCAATAAGGGGTACGGGTACTTCCTCGGCCAGGCCAGTGTCTCTGGAAGCGTGTTGTACGAGAGATCCGAGAGCGCGAAGTTCAATCACGCTCTTTAGGGCGCTGGAAGGAAGGAGTGTTGGGTGGGGTAGTTGTAGTGCTGTGAGTGATCGAACCGCTAGTTCGATGGCAACGATAAAAGGTTACAAGGGACGCACGACCAGACCACTCCGAGGGAAGGACTCCTCTGTGCATTGGCACCACAAGGTATCTTTCTTTCTCCTTCCCATTTTCGTTGCTGCCTTCAGTGTAGCCGACGAGTCCCGTCCTGGACCTTTCTTGCGACCTGCGTCGTCCCGGTATTTGCATTCTTGGAGATCCTTGAATGCCCACCATCCCTATAATTATGGGGTATCTGTAGCTAGGCTGACGTCTTGAAGCTGTGCAGTGTCGTTTGTCGTCGTCGTGCCATTTCGTGTCCGGGATGTGTTGTACGTGTCTGGAGAGATGGAAGACGAGAGGCGGTATGTCGCGTTGAAGTAGAACATACCTGTTTCGTGAATATAAAAACAGAGGTGTTATCGATGCACAGAGAGAGTCAAGATGAACAAGAAGATGAACAAACGCCACAGGAGAAACGCGAACCCGTCCGTGACTAAGCACATCAAACCCACCGACGACTGAGTTCTCACTCAAAAGTGGTGTTTTGATCATCCACAGATAAAAATGAACCTTTGGAACACACTGGCGATAATGGAAAGGGGTACAAAAGCAGAAAATGAAATGATGCAAGAATCGGCCGAAAAAAAGGTTTCTCAAATCTGGCAAACCTCCGGTGGGGAATCGAACCCTACATCCCGTTCCTCACTTTGCATTGTCTCTGGTTAAGACGATAATTTGGAACGTGCACTAAGCCACTGTACCACAGAGGTCTTCCTTAAAATCATATGCTTCCAATACCATATCAGCGCTCCAGCGACGCATCCACTGACGTCGCTTTAAGTGCCTCGTGTTGATCAGCATGCTCATCTGCGCTGATTATCTGTGTTACCATCCTCCCATGCCACAAATAAGCGACAAGGTTTTTTTCGTCGCACGTGAAGTGCGTCGTGAAGAACTCGCAGGCGTAAGCCCCATATATGATATGGGTACCTGCGGCCGGGGCTCTCTCGCCAATGGCTGGAGGCAGCCAGTGGCGATGCACCGCGCCATGTGGCTGTGTGGTTGCATTCGCGTTCCCCCAGGACAATAGGGGCTTCGCCCCAATGAGCCTTCGAGGAAGATTATATTGGTACATTGTGAGCCTCTTATGGGTATTAGATTCCCATGCCTCGTTTCCTGGCATAATATCTCTGCCTTACAGAGTCCTCAAGCATTCTCGCTCGAAATCATCCGGATAGCCGCCTAAGTCCCTGGCATACCAAACATGTACGACTGGTCGTACCTAACGTGTGCGACCTGTCGCACATTCGAACTGTTTCATGTGACATGGATGGGTGGAAGTTCCCTGTCCCTTCTGCAGGCAATGCAGTACAGTAAAAGCATCGCAGTTGGTCTCAACTTTAAGTCAGGACCTGTGCTATTGCTCCCAACTGTGAGCTGGAGGAGAGGGAGAGTACTCCCCTGAAGTTAGGCTCACCTTCAGGCCTCCTAATAAACTGAAGTCCAGATCAGCTGCAGGATACGAGATCCTTTGCAGTTGGAACCACCTTCGGGGTAAAGGGATCCGAGGTTAGCTTCAACTGCGAGAGGCGACAAACCTTCTGCAGCTATGGCCAACTTCCAAAGCCTCCCCCGGATTGAAAATCACTCAATGCCCAGGTCACTGGGCTCCTGAAGCGCAAAGATGTGCCTGGAGCGAAAGGATAAATGGTGTAGCCATGTCCTCAGCTTTTTGCCCATACACGGCATGCCTAAGGAGTGTGCAACCCTTCCTGAAAATTCAAATGCCCATTTCGCTTCTCAATTTGATATACTGGTGTAGGAAAAGCCTATCTCTTGCATATGAATCTCAGCTTGAACTGTTTCCCTACTTGTGGCCTCTGTCCTGTCCCTTGGGACTTGCCTAGTTATGTCGGCCAGGTAAAATTTATCATTTCAAATTCTGAACATCTATGTTTGCCACATCGGATAGTATTTAGTGTAAAAACACGACCTTACCTGCGTAAATGCCGCCAACCAATGCAATAGGAATATGCGTGAGCGTGAGTCAGAATGAAATTTATTAAAGGCATATAATTGAACGTCTATCCCCGGTTGCCGCACCAACATTGTCAGACACCCTCTCGGTCTTCAGTGCAAATTGTGAGTGTAGAACCATGAAAGTCCAATGTCATTTACTCTCTTCCAGGTCTTCGTCTGACGTTTACTCCCCGTTCGACGGATCAGGGAGATTATTGCAATAGTCTTTTTAGATATTTTCATCTATAATTCTTGGGATTTTTACCTAATTATTGAGAATCTATCTATGCAGAGAACATAGGATTTAGGAACCACCATGAACAGCGATTTCGGAGTTATTTAGCCCTCTCCGATTCCGCATCTCTCGGATCGTCACTCCTTACGTTGAAATAAGCGCCCGTAGATCCTGGATATTTCGGGTCGCCGATACCCCATTAGCGACGGGATACCGGTGCGAAAGCACATGCCCTCGGCGCAGTTAAGCACAACTACTGAGAGGATATCCTTCGCAGTTGGTTCCATCTGCAAGTTGAGCAGTGCTCTGCAGTTGCAACCAGCTGCCCAAGGTAGAGGCTGGCGGTTGGGACATAGTACTGCTGAGAGTATTGATCTCGCAGTTTATTTCTACTGCAAGGTCAATGATTTCGGCGGTTGACGCCAGCTGCGATTTAAAACGATTTCGCAGTGAGAACAAACCACGAAGCAAACGGGTTCAGCGGTTGGTTCTGACTGCAGAACCTAGTTGGGAGAAGGCTCTTAGCATCCCTCGAACTTTGAAGTTGAGACCGACTGCAACCTGCGATGTTGATGACAAATGTACGACAGGGCGCACACGTTAAATACGGCCCGTCACACATGTTTGGTACGCCAGGGACTCTGACGGCTGCCCCAAATCATCCTCCATTTCCAAACCTCTTCGGATAACCGTTCAGTACCCTGACGGATGAAACATGTATGACAGGGCATAAGAAGTATGTGTGCCCTGTCACACATTCAAAGCGATCCGCGTGACAATAAGATACAGAAGTGAGAATGCACTTCCCATGAGTTGTTACTTGACATCTACCATTTACCTGGTCTATGAATTAATTACCTATGGTATGGAGTGATCTTTCATGCTAGACTGTCTCTCATGGGTCCAAGTCATCGAAGTGAAAGTGCCCTTCCATAAGTGTCAAGGAATAATAGGAATGACGCGAGGGAGATGTTAAATCACTTCCAGGATCGCCCCCTAGAGAATTCAAGGACGTGAAAACTCACTTCTGTTTGAACTTGATGAACTACTGCAAGTGTGAATGCACTTCGAAAATGTCGTACTCTGAAATCGGTTGGAAGTGATTTCGTACTTCTATCAGTGCCCCTCGGAGTTGGTGGAAGTGAAAGTTCACGTCCAAAGAAATGCCCGCATACGGCAAGGAAGTGCAGAGGCACCTCCAAAGAGCAGGTAAATTTCAAGTTGGAAGTGATTAATACCTTCGGCCCCTGAGCTCACCTATTGAATCCAGGGTTCAACAAGGTTGTCAATTGGAATATCTACTACATCTGGCGTATTCGTAAACGGTTCCAGATACTTAAGAAGACCTTTGTAAAGATGATCGCACGATCCTGAGACATATAGCTCACAGACTTTCGAATGCGATTGAGACCACCATTTCCGCATTCAGCCGCACTCGAGTTGATTTGAACAAGACGAGGATCGACGTTTGCGTATTCTGATAGAAAGGCGGCAGGGCTGCACTTTGAATGACCCGTGCTATGGAAATGATCGATTGCGAAGAAAGTGTCAGCAAAGAATTCAGGCTCGCGGAGCATACTGTATGGCCCCAGTGCACACGCGAAATCGTACACAATCCTCCTCGGCGCCTTAGGCCAGTGTGTGATAATGGCCGAGAAAACATCATCTCGACCTTCATTAGCTGCAATGGTATGAAACCCATAGCATATGCTGTGTGTACACCACACCACCATGATTCCACCTGTAAGGCGCTTCTTCCCGCATCAGTAAGTTGACACATTACTTCCGTACTTTCGGCAACTTTCCACTTTCGGCAGGTCGGCAAGTGAAAAGTGCGAAAGTGACACCAAACGTCGCTGCGAGCACCCTCCGAAATTCATCTTTTGCTTGTCCTCGGGCTCTTAAAGCCTGTAAATGATGTCTGAAGGGTCTGAGTTTAGCTTAGAAAATGATATCCTCAATATTCGTTGAACGGCTATCTTCATACTGTCCGACGAACCGTCACCAGACAAAATCGCTCTTAACTACTTTCCGATTCTCGAAGTAGGTCAGAAGTGTTCCCACAGGCTCTCAAGTGCTTTGCAAGTTAGAGCCTTGAATTGGCTTGAACATAGAAGTAATATATCTCACTCAGCTTGCCTGGAACACCAAAGCCCTCTTGTTTTTTGGCGCTCGCCGGGCGCTTGTTGTCCACTTTTCGGCACTTTTGCCATTGCGGAAACTTTTGGTGTCAATTTCTCAGATCACTTTCCGCGAAAGGGGACATATCTTTTCTCACTCCCCCACTTATGAACTTTTAGCCTCTTTTCGGCGCTTTTGGGCACTTTTTCCACTCGCTCGGGTGGAAAAAGTGAATGGGGGTATTACTGATGCGTAGAGTTCAAAGTATTTTCCGCAGCGATCACCTCGCTTCCCCGACTTGTCTTGTTGCTGATCCGTTCGGAGCTTGGGATAGCGAGGGCGGGTGCGTATCTGAGGCATGCTGTATAACGAGCCTGTCTTTCATTCATTGCACGTCAATGCACGACTCCCAATCAACACACCAAACCACATACCTTAACCCAATCGCCCGGCTCGCTGGCTGAAGGTCCTGACGTATCTGGCAGGGGCGCTTCAACGAGCAACGCATTCAGCGGGGCACGAGTAGCTTTTGCCAGCCAGAGAAGGATGGGGAGAAAGCTGGGAAGATCTCTTTCAGTCAAAATGACCTTATAGAGTGCGGGGATCGCCAAGAGATCGGTCCTGTTAAAGACCATTGGGTTCGATATTATCTGATCGAGTTTATCGAGAGCAGGACGGTTGATCATCTGGAGAACTGATTCTTCAGCAGATAGCTTAGAGTATACGTTAGTGAAATCATGCACCGGAAGAATGAGAAACAAGAACTTACTTGTCGAAATAGATTTTGAATGCTTTGTGGGACAATGCGCCGGTTCGCATAAGATGCAACGCCGAAGTAGTCAATGAAGAGGTTGTTGAGCTCGGGGCAGAGGATCTCGAGGCGGTTGCTAATGAAGTCGATGCGTGTGATGTGTTGTCGAACTAAATCAGCAGCACGGTCTTGTGTTTGAATTGTAGGCGGGAGCTCCTCATGATCCTCATCCTCAGGTTCCTCTCCCTGGGCTTCCTCCATTTCATTTGCGTCAGCACGACTGTTGATCGCTGCTGTTGGAAGTCGCGGTGCATTCAAAACAAGTCGTAGCTGCTTCCGAAGGATTGGATCGCGGAGGAGCTGCTGGTGGGGCTGGTACTTGACCTTATCCCACACGATGGACGACGGAGGAATAAGGGTGGGGGGTCGAAGGGACTCTTTGAGGTGTTTGCGCCCAAACGCAAGAGTAACACCATTGCAGATGATGGTTTCTGGGTAGGGACCGCAGTGAGAGCATCCCATGTCACCATCGAGGGCGACGAGTGAGGCGTATGCAAACCACACCAATCGGAAAAGATCATCGCCCATGAATGCCTGGCTAGCAAGTGCATAGCGTCAGGCCATCACTCCAACCCAAGCCACGA